CGTCATACAGTAAAAGTACTAATTATCCAGTATTGCATCAATTTAAAAGTTTACTAATCAATTGCCTCCAACAGGATCCTGCTCACCAAACATCTATCCACATTTACAGTATATCATTAGTCAAACAATTATACACATTTATGTCATCAATCAAACATAAGTATAATTGCCTTTCAACCAAAATATATTGAGACAGAATTTGTGCATGCTCAACGCGTTTCACAGAGCATTTGTGCACTTCTTCAGGAGTTGCTAGATGGAGGTGATATTATAATGTATCAATCCTACTTGTTTACATATCAATAAAACCTTTTGCTTTGTCCAACCAACAGGGGCCAACCCAGAGCCAATGTATTCAGTGCATTGCAGGAGCAAACTACCATCCTTGTACTAAAATATTAAAGCAGGGGTGGACAGACCATCCCAAAGACATGCACATCTACTACAGCTCTCAATAATGCCTGAGAAGCAAATCTCATGTCAAGAGTCTCCATATTAATTAATAAGTACCTATGTGGCTCTAATTGGTAGGGGTCAACTCCTTTCTCCTTTCAGTGTGAGGAATAGTGCCCCATCATTGTTGTCAGTGGGAGGAATCGTGCCCCTTCGATGGTGTCAGTGGGAGAATCGTGCCCCATCATTGGTGTCAGTGGGAGGCATAGTGGCCCATTATTGGTGTCAGTGGGAGGCATAGTGCCCCATCATTGGTGTCAGTGGGTGGAATAGTGTCCCATCATTGGTGTCAGTGGGAGGCATAGTGCCCCATCATTGGTGTCAGTGGGGGGAGGCATAGTGCCCCATCGTTGGTGTCAGTGGGAGGCATAGTGCCCCCCCATCATTGGTGTCAGTGGGAGGCATAGTCCCCCATCATTGGTGTCAGTGGGGGGAGGAATAGTGCCCCATCATTGGTGTCAGTGGGAGGAATAGTGTCCCATCATTGGTGTCAGTGGGAGGATTAGTGCCCCATCATTGGTGTCAGTGGGAGGAATCGTGCCCCATCATTGGTGTCAGTGGGAGGAATCATGCCCCATCATTGGTGTCAGTGGGAGGAATAGTGCCCCATCATTGGTGTCAGTGGGGGGAGGAATAGTATCCCATCATTGGTGTCAGTGGGAGGCAAAGTGCCCCATCGTTGGTGTCAGTGGGGGGAGGAATAGAGCCCCATCGTTGGTGTCAGTGGTAGACATAGTGCCCCGTCGTTGGTGTCAGTGGGGGGAAGGAATAGAGCCCCCTCGGTGTCAGTGGGGGGAGGAATAGTGTTCCATCATTGGTTTCAGTGGGAGGAATAGTGTCCCATCATTAGTGTCAGTGTGAGGAATAGTGCCCCATCATTGGTGTCAGTGGGAGGAATAGTGTCCCATCATTAGTGTCAGTGTGAGGAATAGTGCACCATCATTGGTGTCAGTGGGAGGCATAGTGCCCCATCGTTGGTGTCAGTGGGAGGAATAGTGTCCCATCGTTGGTGTCAGTGGGAGGCATAGTGCCCCATCATTGGTGTCAGTGGGAGGCATAGTGCCCCATCAATGGTGTCAGTGGTGGGAGGCATAGTGCCCCATCGTTGGTGTGAGTGGGGGGAGGAATAGTGTCCCATTATTGATGTCAGTGGGAGGCATAGTGCCCCATCATTGGTGTCAGTGGGAGGCATAGTGCCCCATCGTTGGTGTCAGTGGGAGGCATAGCGCCCCATCATTGGTGTCAGTGGGAGGCATAGTGCACCATTGTTGGTGTCAATGGGGGGAGGAATAGAGCCCCATCGTTGGTGTCAGTGGGGGTATGAATAGTACCCCATTGGTGTCAGTGGGAGGAGGAATAGTGCCCCATCATTGGTGTCAGTGACACCAACGATGGGGCACTATTCCTCCCACTGACACCAATGACACTTACCTTGCTGACCCCTGCTCCAGCCTAGGCTCCTTTCCTCTCCCATCCACAGGCACACTTATCGGTCAGCTGTCTTCTTCACTTGCTCCGGCTGCTCCCTCACTCGATCTTCGCGCTGCCACACGGCTCCTCCTCTCCAAGCTCCGCCTCCTCACAGGTGATTGGCCGCCTGTGTGCCTTTCCTGAGCTACAGTTCTGGCGCCCAATCACCGTTGAGGAGGCGGAGCTTGCAGAGGGAGGTACAAGCTGCCATAGGCTGTCCAGTGATCCCGAGGGTGTGGCCGGATGCAGGGGCGGTATGTCATCCCGCCCACACATCGCATCCAGGGAAATGAAGACACCGACCTGCGGACCTCTCTACCCCTCCTCCAGCAGCACCTCCTGGACTGGATCGTCGTGGGACTGGGACACGGAGCCAGGGTAAGACACAGCAGTCAGCTGCCTGCCCCTGTACTAAGTGTCCCTTCTGTTGAAAGGGGGGGGGGCGGCGGCACCGCGACACCCCCCTAAAAAGTGCCGCCCTAGGCAAACGCCTTGTTTGCCTCGCGGCAAATACGCCCCTGGGTATAGTGTAGTATAAAGTAGTATACTGTTTCATTTTTTTATCTATTATTTATTAACTGTTATTATACATTTGTTAAGTGCCATAAATAATATCCCTCTTAACATAACAATCTGAAAATGAAAGAGCTAACATGAAATCTATAAATTGTAAAACTAAGATTGCAACCAAAGAACAAGTAAGTACCTTTATTATTCATTAAATTATTTTCTGTGAACCCAAAGAGCTGCCAGATTCCAATTATATACTGTACAGATAATTCAGTTGTTCTTTATTATTCAAATCTCTACCATGTCCACCCAACAGTGTAAAGACTGAACCTCTGTCAACCACAAAGAAGCATTCACTGGTCTGTAGGATGGTATGGCATAAAATGTATGACAACGTGACAGGTCTACTCTTTTTTATATAAAGTAGACAGTCCAAAACATGAGGAGGGATGGGGGGGACAAGACAGCATAAAATGCATTTAGAGTAGTATTTAAAACACCTGACAATTCATTAAACGTAAAATGCAATCATAAGGCGGTCACAGCAAATGAAACCTGTATGAAGTGCGTAGCAGCACAAGTCCATTGTTTCACTGGTGGGATCAGGTGTCTGGTAGCTCTTCTCCTGTCCGGGGTGGGACTGAGAGTGGAGCTCTGGGTTTTGCCTGACCAATATGGCGCTTGTACCTTAGGAAGTCTAGATCTGGGAAAGGGCACTGTCATTTGCGCAGGATCCATCTAGCACTGACATCACTCCTTGAGCATGCATGACCTATTTCTTAGCTGTGATGAAGGGGGAGTGTTGACCCCCAAAAAAAGGGTTGGCTGTTAAATACAATCTATATAAGCGTGTGTGGCACTCCCATCCTTTCAAAATGTTATTATACTCCACTGAGGGTGCAGCAAACCTCCATGATTGCTGGTAAGCAGCCTGTAGGTCCACTTCCTTTTGCTTTGTGGCACAGTGGCTTAGTGGTTAGCACTTCCGTCTGGTAGTACTAGGGTTGTGGGTTCGAATCCCAGCCACAGCACCACCTGCCTGGAGTTTGCATGTTCTCCCTGTGCCTGCCTGGGTTTCCTCTGGGTACTCTGGTTTCCTACCAAAGACATGCTGGTAGGTTAATTGGCTCCTGTCTAAATTGTCCATAGTATGTGTATGTATGAATGTGAGTTAGGGACCTTAGATTGGACACCCCTTGAGGGTTAGGGACTGATGTGAATGTACAATATATATGTAAAGCACTGCATAAATTGACGGTGCTCTATAAGCACCTGAAATTAATAAATAATATGCATGCTTGAGGAGGAGGAGTGAACATCACTTATAATCTTTGGACCCCTTGAGGGAAAAAGCTTTTTTGACCTCTTTAATGTGCAGGTCGTATTAAGAGGTGAGAGTGCATCTGCAGTGGAGCACTGGGTGAAGGAGTGATGCTATGGTAAAGTGGTATACACAAGCACAGAAGATCTGTATAGTGGAGCACAGGAAGAATATTCACGCATATATGGTCCAGCATGTGGAACTGAAAATATTAGTTATTCATTTATTCATTTATTATATGGTTTTTGTGGTGGTTTTTTTTTTAAATGTGTGCATTGTAAATTGTTTTTGAGTGCACTTATACATTTATATATGTGTATATATACTGTATGTCCATATCTGTGTACAAGCATTCTTTGACCAGACACAGAAGTCAGCCTTCACTGTCCCACCTATTAACACCTAAATGGACAAGGAACAACAGAACACATAGTAAAATGATGTGAAGAAAAGAAAGAAGAGTAAGGCAGAAGGAAAGTTTGTCTCTGTTATTTTATTTTTACATCCACTGGTGGCATTTCTACATCTGAAAAAGGTAGTAGTACTTGTCTTGTGGGTTGATTTTGCTCAGGACTGTTATATTGATATAAGAAAACACCACGATAATCTGCAACTTCAAGCCAGGAAAATAATATGCAAATAATAATTAGTATTTGTATTGTGATATACAGTACGGTATTTGTGCATGGTTAGGCCCACCATAACAATGCTTGGGCCAAGCAGGTTTATATGGGCCCAGTGTTCTATGAACCCAGGCAGTCATGAACCTGCCCCCAAGCAATATATTATCAGTCTGACATGGGCTCACAGCAAAATGGTGTGTCCAATAATACCTACAGCAAAAGTAAAAGGAATCTTGAATGAGGAAAAAGTTAAAGTAAGGGGTCAATGCCGTGGAAAGGGGGCTAATGTCAAGAAATAAGGAAGGGGGATGTTCAACCTGGAGCTGGGTTTTAAAGATTACTGTGATTAATTTGCAGTACTGGGTTGGTTTACAGCCACTTAGCACTTAAAAAGAATCTACTTTCTAAACCTACTAAATGCACAAGAAGAGATAATAACTTTATTATCTATATTATATAAGTTATATGGTAAGTCATTATTTGTGCAGCAATAAATAAAGATTACCTTTAATGTTTCTAGGATCTTTTCTTGATTTATTTATTTTACAAGTTACTGGGTGCACTACTATTACATTTGAATTCTTGAAAGAGATAACATTGTAGATGGTTCCAGCATAATGTATTTAGCCCACCATGGCATATCCAGGGCATTGCTTTTCAGGATCTTCATTTGGTACTAGGAAGTATTTGCAGGCCTTCCGGTCAAATTTGAATATGCAATTTATGTTGTTGCTAATTGGTCTTCCATAACTGAAAAATAAAAATGATATCAGTTACATCTGCTTTTCTATGGACCACTGCTAGACAAGTCATTGTGCCCTACAGGAACAAGGTAAGCAAACTGAATGTTATGTAGAATCTACGGTAACTCCAAGCTCCATTCACACTTGTGTGACTCATCATGTGACTTTGGACATCAAAATTGCATGACAAGTCGCAGTTGATTCTTTCCAACAACACCCGATCAAACTGGTGTGACTTTAAAAAGGTGGCTGCGCTACTTTGGTGCGACTTTTGATGCAACTTTGGTCCACAGGATGTAAAATCAGATCAAAGTCGCATCAAAATTGCGCTCCAAAGTTCCATGGGAAATGGTGCAACTTTGGAGATGAGCTAATGTGAATGGAGCCTTAATAATTTATTGGTACATAGCGTATGGATGGGGTGTAGATAATGACATGCAGGCACAGGTTAAAATTCCAAAAATGTAGCAGTGGCTTTGGAAACGTAATATTTAAGGGTCAGTCTACGCAACTTACAAGACTTACATTGATGGTTTTCATAGAGTCCTGTTAGTTTAGTTACTGAGTTACTTCATATTTTGGAAACTCTGGTGGCAGGAAATGAATGCTTCGAGCTCCAGAGTTTGCAGTGGGCTTTTTACTGAGAGGAAATATAGGGGTTTACCTCACAAGGAAGTGGGCCACTAGGACTCCAAGTAATGGAGATCTACATATTTGTGAGACTAAATTCATATCTAGGTCTGAACTGTACTATAGGACGTTTAAGAGCCCTATGCTCAGGTAAGAAATAATCATTTCTCTGTGTTTGAAGTTAAAAACATCCCAATTATATTAGAATGTGTCTCTTGCAAAAAGTTGAAGTTTACACTTGTCTTGCTGTCTCTACGATGCAGAAGACCAAAATTCTGTCTTCACATTTAGGGCTTTTGGAGAAATGGCTTGTGCTTTCAGGTGCATTCAACTTGCATTTGAGATCAGAATGAGGGAAAAAGCGGGAATGCCTGTTTCAAGGCCCCCCCTTGAGACTGTTTCAACATCAGGGGGTTTCAAGGCCCCCTATACCTGTCACACATACCTATGAGGGCTGATATGTGGGAACAAGGTCAAGTGCCTTTTTCTATAGGTCAGAGAAGTCAGGTGACCTTTCGGAGAGTTCTAGAAGGGCATTTTTCACTATTTAACCAGTTGCCGCCTGGCCTATAGCCAGATGGTGGCCGGGCAAACAGCTCGTCCCTCTGAGTGGACACCATATGGCGTTCTTTCAGGAACGTGCATTGCGCATGCCTGCAGGGCCGCTCTGCAGCGCAATCTGTCACAGGCCGTGTACCTCAGACATGGCCGATGACAGATCTGTGTACCAGCCCCGTTGCCAGTACCATGTGACCTGCTGTGACCAATCACAGCAGGTCACATGACAGTTGTATACAATGGATGGCTTCCTTTCATGCCATCCATTGTATACAAGTGTGTCTAGCTGTGAATGGTTACAGCGATCACATGCACAAGCTGGGCCAATCACAGCCCAGCTGTGTCATGTGATTAGCCGTGGCCAAATCACAGCTAAGCACAAAAAAAAAAACCCTGAATGAATCGATTTCATTCAGGTAAATGCTTGCTTATAGCAAAGTAATTCTTTGCTATAAGCAAATTGTGTAAAAAAAAAAATACTGATCACTTCCCCAAAGTAGTACAATGTTACTATGGTAACATTATACTACTTTGGTCATAGTGAAATATGAAAAGAATCTTAAAAAAAGAGAAAAAAATGTAATAAAAAAAAAAAAAAAAATGATCAATTTTTTTTTTTCTTACTGTCACCAGTCAGTGTCCCTGATCACCGCCATGCCAGTTATATGATGACGCTGAACTGCACTGGTGACAATATGTAAAAAAAAAATAGTGAAAATCATTTTTTTAATTTCTTCATTTTCTGAAAAATTATGACAAAAAAAATTACAACTTCAAAAAACTCGCCATGCCTCTTATGAAATACATCGGACTGTCTACTTGGCAAAAAGGGGTCATTTAGGGAATATCTGTACTATTCTGACATTCTTGGATCTCAAGAAATTAGATTGGCTGTCAGTTCTTCAGGATTGATCAATATTCAGATCTATCCCATAGTTTGTGAACTCTATAACTTTCCTACAAACGAAATAATACATCCTAATTTGGGTTATTTTCACCAAAGACATGTAGCAGAATACATCTCGGCCTAAATTTATGAAGAACTATTATTTATTTGCAAACTTTTATAACAGAAACAAAGAAAAACGTGTTTTTTTTCAAAATTTTCAGTCTTTTTTGTTAATTTAGCAAAAAAAAAAAAAAAAAAACCCCAGTGTTGATTAAATACCACCAAAAGAAAGTTCTAGTTGTGTGAAGAAAATGATAAAATTTTAGTTTGAGTACAATGTTGTATGACCGCGCAATTGTCATTCAAAATGTGAGAGCGCTGAAACCTGAAAATTGGCCTGGGCAGGAAGGGGGTAAAAGTGCCCGGTATGGAAGTGGTTAAAGGCTGTGTAGAGCCCCCTCAGGTGCCAGCTGTTTGGGGTACACCTTAGTGAGCTCTATAGCTCTTTTCCACAGGGCTGAGCTGAAAGTGGTAGCCAATCCAGTGGCATGATGACCCTGCTTAGGAAAATCTTGTGAAGAAGGGGTGGAAGAATGCATAGGAGGATGCCTGGACCTACTTCAGATGCTGGAATCAACATCAGAAAGCTCACCACTGATGCCCCTGCCACCATCGCTGAAGGTGGCCAGGAAGGGAATGCACAGCGGGAGGAAGAGGAAGAATATCTTCACCTTCGGGAAGCAGTCCCAGTCTATAGCACTGCCTGAAGAGAAGGATTGGCTGAAGAGGAAGCTTCCTCACCCTGCACTGCATCTTCTTCCAAGCCTAGGAGTGATTCTCCCTGAAAAAGATCGTCAGAGGGGGGCATGGCCACAGGGGGTACCTAAGCTGGAGCAAGGGGTTGCTACACAGGAGTGGAACTTTGTCACAAGGATGCTGAGGAGAAGCAGAAAGGCCACCAGTCATGCATCTGGGTAGCCTTAAAGAGGCAGATTGCCCAGGCACAGCCACAGCAGAGCTGAATCACCTGCTGTCTCACCTGTACAAGCTGAAGCATGAAGCATTCCTGTGATCTGCACCTCAGCCTGCTTCTTTGAATGGCGAGTCCTCTCAATTGAATTTACTATGTACTTTACTGATTCTTTGTCTAAATTGCATAGTGATCTTAATAAGAAGTCTGATGTTGGTAATTCAGCTGTTGATTCTCCTGTTTTTCTTTTGCTGCACACAGCATTCATAATGCAGCTAGCAATCCTATTGATGCTCTAATGCTGGTGTCAGTGAAAAGTCTCTGATGTATGCAGACCACAGTGCATTCCTGAAACTACTGTAAAGGAGACATTGCTGTCTGAATGATCACCTCTAGGTTTTCACCTGTCGGTTAATCTGAAGGAGAAAAATCTAGAATAGTGATTTTATTGATTTACTGTCTTTGCTTCCATCTGCAAAAGAATTCCTTTTTAGAAGTAATAAAAAGGATGATAATGTTGACGGTGATAATCATAGGCCCGTAGCCAGTAATTTGAATAATTGGCTGCAGCCTTCTGCATTCATGCTAGTGTAATGTTTGAAAAATTTCCTGAAAAAAGTTTGGGGCTGTTTCAACAAATTGGCATTATACTTAAAGAGTATAACACTTTTGACGGTCTTTTGTGGTTTATCTACGAGTCTTTTAGGCAAAAGTTACACATCGCCTCCTTATGGGTTGCTCTTTGTCCTGTTCCTATTTTGAGACATATTACATTACATTACATTGAGTTTATATAGCGCCAAAGGGTTTGCTCAGCGCTGTACAATAGAGGGGGGGACAATACATGAAACATTACAGCAACTACGAACAGCACACGAGGGGTAAGAGGGCCCTACTCTTTCGAGCTTACAATCTAGGAGGGAGGGGGTAGTGGTACAGGAGGAAGTGGCTGTGGGGGATGGAGTGGTAGGAGGAATGAAGGAGAGCAGCAGTTAGGTGAGGGTGGGGTAGGCTTCCCTGAAGAGGTGGGTTTTCAGGGAGCGCCTGAAGGTGAGGAGGGAAGGTGACAGTCTGATGGATTGGGGTAGTGAGTTCCAGAGGAGGGGGAGGACCTGGAGAAGTCTTGCAGACGTGCGTGTGAGGAGGAGACCAGGGAGCAGGATAGAAGGAGGTCCTGTGAAGAGCGAAGGGTACGGGTAGGGTGGTACTTGGGAATCAGGTCGGTGAGGTAGTTAGGGGCAGTGTTGTGAATGGCTTTGTAGGTCAGAGTGAGTAGTTTGAATTTGATGCGTTGGGCGATAGGGAGCCAGTGGAGGGAGAGGCAGAGGGGGGTGGCAGAGGTGGAGCGGGTGGTGAGGTGGATGAGTCTAGCCGCTGAGTTGAGGATGGTCTGAAGCGGGGAGAGCCTGCACTGGGGTAGGCCGGTGAGGAGGGAGTTGCAGTAGTCAAGGCGTGAGATAATCAGGGAGTGCACAAGTAGTTTAGCGGTGTCTGGGGTAAGGAAGGAGCGTATTTTGGCGATATTGCGGAGGTGGAGCCTGCATGTGTTTGTCAGTGATTTGACATGAGGTTGGAAGGAGAGGTTAGAGTCCAGAAACTCCAAGGACTTTGGCTTGCGGGGCGGGATTGATGGTGGTGATGTTAGTAGTGATGGATAGGATGGGGGGGGGGGGGGGGGGCGCGGGGAGGAGGGAAGACGAGAAGCTCGGTTTTGGAGAGGTTGAGTTTGAGGAAATGGAGCGACATCCAGTCAGAGATGTCGTTTAGGAGGTGAGTGATGCGGGCGGAGAAAGTGGAGGTGAGGTGTGAGGGGGGTGGAGAGGTAAATTTGAGTGTCATCAGCATAGAGATGGTAGTTGAAGCCGTGGGAGTGTATGAGTTTGCCAAGGGAGGAGGTGTAGATGGAGAAGAGAAGGGGTCCAAGGACAGAGCCCTGGGGGACCCCAACAGAGAGGGGGAG